TTTATTAAATCACATTTCTAACTGTCCCTGACCTTGTTTCTACAGCCCATGTACATAGTGATGGACACATAAAAATCAGTCACTTGTTTAAAAGTGAGTGAACTTAAACACCTTTATGTGAGTTTAATATCTGATGGGGAATTGTTACTCACTATGTGGTCACCATCCATCATTCAGAATAAAATGAGAGGTATACTTTATCATGATGTATTATTTCATTCTTTTTAGTCAGAGGTACAGTTTCTATGGAAGTCACTGATAGTTAATCCAGTGTAATTAAAACAACCACCCATTTAAATACAATAGTTAAATTAAAATCATTCGTTTCTTGTAAATTGACTTAACTAAAGAAAGAAAAGTAAAATATATTTCTACTTTGTGTATTCTTTTTAACATAGTTAAAACTGGCTTGAGAAGTGTGTCAGACATGACACACAAAGATATTCCCAAGGTGAATATCTTTGATGATATTTGTGAAGAAACGGATGCATTTGACTTGATAGATAGTGCGTAATCTAAAATGCCAAGGATATATTTCTTCTTCTGGATGTTTACTTACTGTAAGTTTATCGAACTTTTAAGGAAGGTGCTTTGCATCGAGAACTGACTGCTGTATGTGCAGCTCCCCATGTCTAAGGCCGAGCAAAAGGGATTGCTGCTCTCGGCTTCTCTCCTTGTGCCAGAATCACCTCCCTGCTAGACTGCATGGGGAACGTTCCTAATCCACATTTGTTTCTCCCAGGATTCTGGCTCCTTGAGGGATTTGTCTGCCTAGCCTGATGGAGGTATTCCAGCTCTGCTTTCTTTCGGATAGTATTTCTCATTCATTTGATCTAAATAGGGGATTATATTAGCTAAACATGATTAAACTTGAGATATGAGTAGGTACATTTCTGATGTCTGGTTTTGTTACAGGTTCTTATGGTTTATGCGCCTGCATGTAGCATAGTGTATTAATATAACCACCTTTGAATAGCAACAACTAGGAAAAAGTTTGAAAGAAACCTAAGCAAGTCGTTTCAAAGAAATGGACATTTAAGTGCTTAATTCAATTAGCAACTCATAAAGTCTATATTGACGAGGATGCAAATAGCCTCTTTAAGCATTAATTTCATGACATGCACATTTTGTAGAAGTGAGTGTAGTTTGTAGATCCTTAGGCAAATCTTCACTGTCGGTTGGATTTATTTAAAGAGCTTTTCTGGTCATTTCTCCCTTCTGTAGGGATTTGGGGCATGCATGTACATGTGCCCGGTATGTTTTCCAAGCTGCGAGGCTGGGGTTAGAACACTCATTCAGCCGTGTGAGAGCTGGCTCCCTTAACCACTAGGCTATGGGGCCAGTCCACTTGTTCATTCTTCTGGTAAATATTTATTGAGCACTTCCTCTCACAATAGGTGCACTTAGCATAGACAGGACTGGCTCAGATCCCTCTAACAGGAGAAGTAAGAGTGCAATCAAGTAAGGAAGGGTTTGGTGCGAGGACTGACAAGGAAAGGCTGCTAGCCATCATCACAGGACAGGCACGCCGTGAGCCCTGCAAAGGGTGGGTGAAAGGGTGGGTGCTAGGACACCGTGGTGCATCAGCCCATTCCGATGCCCCACTTCCTAACTGAGAAAACAAGGCTGGAGGCTCATCCAACAATTAGCAGCAGAGGCAATACTGAAACCAAGGACTCCTGATTTTTGGTTTTGTTCTAGAACATTCTAGAGTAGCCTGGTGTCTGGGCAGGGACCATTGGTTGCCAGAGAACTTAGACCAGATACCCCCATCCCTTCGCCTGCAGAGGACTGCTCTTAGGAATTCTCCCCAAGATGAGCTTCGTGTCTTGAAATGCTTTGATCTCCAACCTGCCTTTAAAAATCCATTCAAAGTGTCTGCCACTGTGACCAGACTTGGGGCTGTAGCTTCAAGCCAGAGAACTTGACATGGTCACCAGCCACGGCCAGGGATCTCCTTGGCAACGCCACGGCCCACTGCATCCATCAGGGTGCGGGCAGGAAGCAGGTGGTGCTGTAGGAGGGCTTAGCAGAGGGGCGTTTGCAGAGGGATGGGGTCCACGAAGAGACCTGGGGTACTGGAGACTAGCAACAGGGAGAGCCTGAACCAAGACGGCAAGGAGGGCGCCTGGGGGGTTGGAGCCATGCAGGAGAGGCTGCTTGATGAGAACTGTGGCCACAGAAGTGCACAGCCAGGCCAGTTCCCTCCTTCCTCCCACCCTCCAGTCTCCTGCTGTGGCCACCCATCCGCCACATCCAGATGGAAGCCCAGGAGGAACGGGGCCTAGCGGTGGGTCTGTGGGGACCTGCTGGGCACCGGGCTGGTCAGAGCAGGACCGCGAGGGCTCGGGGGTGCAGGTGAAGAGCCAGTAGGGCCTGGCAAGCTGAACACGGCTTCACCCTGTGTCAGTGGAGCATAGCAGGGACCAGGGAACACGCGAACCTTTGTCTCCTGCAGCCGCTACGTGCTTCACATCCAAGGCAGCCAGGGCATCGGCAGCCCCGGGGCTGTCCGCTGGAACCTCTGCCTCTGCCTGCTGCTGGCCTGGGTCATCGTGTTCCTCTGTATCCTCAAGGGCGTGAAGTCATCGGGCAAGGTGAGGCCGGGGAGGCCTGGGGGCCTGGTGGGGTGTGGGCTTCCTGGAGGAGGCAGGGCATGAACTGAGTCTGAGCAGAGAAATAGATTCCAACTGGCAGAAGGGGAGGCAGAGGGCCCTGAGGTTGGGGAGAAAGCGCTGCCTGGAGAAAGACATGGGTAAGAGAGACCGTGGGCCGCGCTCCTGGATGGGAGCTTGCCGCGGCAGGATCTTTGCGGTATTTGAATGTTCATGCTTCCTCATGCTTGGCACTCCGGCAGGGCTTGGCAAGAGTTGGTCGAGTGCTTGGGAGGTGGAAATGCATGCAAACGTGAATAACAGGGCTATCTGAGATGCAAGTGACCAGACCCCACTGTCACACTTCCCTCCGGGAGGTCCAGAGGGTAGGCCTCAGGAGTGGCTGGATCTAGTTCAATCCCTGTGATCAGGAATCTGGTTCTCAGGGTCTCTCAGCAAACCTCCCCCTGAGGGCTCTCCTTCATGAGTGAGCTTGCCCCTAGCGGCTCTTGGTTTGTGTCTCACCGGCTCAGTGAAGGGCTGTCTCTGTCTCTAGTTTGTAAAGATCCTAGAACTAGGCTTCTTGGGTAAATCAGACACGTGCCCATCCCTAATCCATCTCTGGTCACGAGGGTAGAATGCCCCCCTGCCCCTGGGGCTGGGATGGAGTTGCCCATCTGGGGGAAGTCTGAGTGCTGTCATCTGAGGAGGCGAACCAGACCCTGAGAAGACATAGCCTCAGATGTCCACTTTAGATCAGGGGAGGGGGATGGAGGGGACACTGCGCTTCCAGGAGGACTTGGAAACCTGAATGTTTCGCTGGGTCACTCCTAAGTTAGAACTTGTCCCTCTGCCAATTGTCCACAAGGAGCAGAGCTGTGGAAAGGAAGCCTAGGCAGGCAGGGTAGAAACCACTTAGGAGAGCTGAGGGGCTCATGGAACCCAGGAGTGGGGACGTCGAGGCTGATGGTGCTTGCTGAAGGGTGGCTGGCTGGTGGCTTCTCGAGGGGAGAGAGGGCACAGGGAGTCTGGGGAGTCGAATGTCAGGGCCATGCAGAGTGGGTTTTCAGGGGGCAGGGAGCGAGCCCGGGAACAGGAGGCCTTACAACGGCTGGACCGGGGCTGCAGTGGAGCTGGCTCTGGGGTGGCATTGGGGAGCGGGGTCCTAGCACCTGGCTGGTGGCTGGGAGGGCGGAGGAGCACCATGGGTGGTTCCCGGCTTCAGCAGCCCAAGGCTGGGAGGCGAGCTACTCAGAAGAGGCTTTCAGGAGGAGTGGCTCGGAGGGCAGGTCCCCATCTTGGGCTGCCCCCTTCCATCTCTCAGGTGGTGTATTTCACGGCCACATTCCCCTACCTCATCCTGCTCATGCTGCTGGTCCGTGGAGTCACCCTCCCAGGGGCCTGGAAGGGCATCCAGTTCTATCTCACCCCCCAGTTCCACCACCTGCTGTCTTCCAAGGTGAGGCCCTCTCTGCGGTGCGGACGGAGAAGTCAGGCCTGAGCTGGGGGACGGGGACGGGGGCTTACCATCACCAGGCACTGCGTTAGGCCCTTCCTGTGTATCTTCTGCGTTTACTCTTCTTAATAATCCTGTGAAGTAGACACAGTTTCCCACTTCAGATGAGGAGACGGAGGCCCAGAAGAATTACTGATAAGCTTACAGTCACAGCTAGGGAGTGGCAGAGCCGGGAGTCCAGCTCTGTCTCACTCTGGGCCCCAGGAGCGTGTGGCAGTGGTGGTGGTGACAACCATAGCGGTGGTGCCGACACTGGCGTTGATGATGCTTCGGCCAGTGACTGCCTGCCCCTGCTCCACCATCCTCATGTACGGAGTGACTGGCTCTTACTGCCCCGTAAGCTGGGCACTGTACCTGTCCCCTCCTTACAGATGAGGGGCCTGTGGTCCTGGGAGGTGATGTGGCTTGCCCAGGCTGTGCCTCAGGAAGTGGGGAAGCAGGGATGTAAATCTAGGTGCCCGACTTCCATGCCAGGAAGGAGCTGCCCGCCAAACACTTCACGATAGGTGCTCTTCCTTCAGAACAGGGCCCAGCCTCGAGACCACCTTCTAGATCCTGGGTGGGCAAGCGGGCAGGAAGGAGCTTAGCCACGGCCCGCAGCGTGAGTGTCGAGTCGGGTTTGCTTCCGGCCCGTGTTGCTTGTGCCAGGCTCTGCGCCATGAGCCATCCCTGGGCCTGACGCCCCGTGTCCGCCCTGCCCTCCTGCTTTTTCTTTCTGTGGCCCTCCACACAGTGTCCCTCTCTCTGCCCTCCCTCCCCACTCTCCCTGCCACAGGTGTGGATTGAAGCTGCTCTGCAGATCTTCTACTCCCTGGGGGTGGGCTTCGGGGGGCTCCTCACCTTTGCCTCTTACAACACATTTCACCAGAACATCTACAGGTCAGTGTCCATAGCCCTCCAGGCCCAGGCCAAGGTATGAGGGTGGCTGGCCAGGGAGGGCCTCATGGGTCGAGGGCAAGGCCAGCCCCTCCTGCCTCATGCCTGGACTTCTGCTGGCAGAGACACCTTCATTGTCACGCTGGGCAACGCCATCACCAGCATCCTGGCTGGCTTCGCCATCTTCTCCGTGCTGGGCTACATGTCTCAGGAGCTGGGCGTGCCTGTGGACCAAGTAGCCAAAGCAGGTGGGCAGGTGACCAGGTCTCAGTGGGGTTAGGGTGTGGGCCTGGCACGGCTAGGGTGGGCCAGTGAGCTGGAGGAGGGTATGTCTTGCGTGTGTGCATATATATGCATGTGCATGCAAACATGCCTTAGCTGGTTCTGGGTGTCCATGTGCAAAGGGGTGAGTGTGCACAGGTGTGCATTAGCCTGTGTCTGGAGGTAAATGAGTTTTCACATGAGTGTGTCTTGTTTTGTGCCCCTGTTTCTCCAAATGAGTCTTATCGTGCATTGTGATGTCTGGTCTGTGTGCAAATGAACTGAGAGTGTGAGTGAGCTCGTGAATCCGTGTGTCTTGTGTCAGTGGATATGTGTATGTATATGTACTGGTGGGATGATGTGTGATAATTGTGTACATGAGTGTTTATTTATTTATCTATTTATTTATTTATTTATTTGAGAGAGAGAGAGAGAGAGAGAGATGTGCTATTGGGTGCATGCACTCACCAGAGAGAGAGAAAGCAAGAAATCACCCCTGCGGGAGATGGCCATGCTGCAATGCCTTCTCCTCCATTCTCCTCTTGGGATTTCAGGCAAACATGCACATGTGCTCGGCGTGAGTTTTAAGTTGCCATGTCCGGGACTTGAACTGCGGTCAACTACAAAGAGTCTGATGACTAACCGTTAAGCCATCTGCTGGTCTCAGTTCATAAATGTATCCTAATGAGGTTTTATATTGGGGTCTTGTGTCTATTCTATGCTCTTTTTTTAGTTTATTTTTTCTGTGATAGCACAGACACAGGGGCACCCTTGACTGGGTCTCATCACTCAGAGATCCCCTTTCCCTGACCCACCATTTCGTCAGATGTTGGGTTGGCCTGCACACACAACCGACAGGTTTTTAAGCCAAGAGAACTGAACCCGTGGTCAGCCATGTGGCTTCCAGTGCTGCCGTTCAGTCTGCTACTACTGTGCCCCCACGCTGGGCCTGCACTGACTAATCCTTCACTTGATCAGCCTATGTTTACTGAGCACCTCAGTGTGCTGGCTTAGGTCTAGGAGTTAAGAAAATGCCGGCTTGAGGACAGCAGATGGCGTAGTGGTTATGTCATTGGATCCCCACATGGTTGACTGAGATTCGAGTCCCAGAGCCGGTGGCTTGAAAATCACGCCAAGCACATGTGCGTGTGTGCCCAAGATCCCAGGAGGAGAATGGAGGAGAAGGGATTGTGGTATGGCCATCCCTCTTGGAGGGTGACTTCTCACTTTCCCTCTCATTGTCTTTGTCTCTTTCTCTCTTCGGCAAGCACACACACCTTATAGCAAAAACCTCTTTAAAAATAAATAGAAAGAAAGAAGGAAAGAAAGAAAGAGAAAGGAAGAAAGAAAGAAAAGACAGGAGAAGATGGCCTGGCTACACGAGCGTGCCCGAGTGGGTGAACGTGTGTGTGCGTGTGTGTGGCAGCCCGCCACGTGTCCCAGGTTGCTGACCCACTGCCCTTGGCCCAGGCCCTGGCCTGGCCTTTGTGGTCTACCCACAGGCCATGACCATGCTGCCTCTGTCACCCTTTTGGTCCTTCCTCTTCTTCTTCATGCTCCTGACGCTCGGCCTGGACAGCCAGGTGAGCCCTGTTCACAACAGCGGTCACCTCGTGTGGGGTGTGTGTGGCGGGGACAGACTCTGACCCTCACCCATACCCCCCCCCCAGTTTGCCTTTCTGGAGACCATCGTGACAGCCGTGACAGATGAGTTCCCGTACTACCTGCGGCCCAAGAAGGCGGTGTTCTCAGGGCTCATCTGCGTGGCCATGTACCTGATGGGGCTGATCCTCACCACAGATGTGAGTGGCACTGTGTGGGATGGCAGGCCGGGCGGGGCCACAGCAGACCCTGCCACCACGCCCCTGGCCTGGCTGAGCAGCGCTGAGCTGCCTCCATCGCCCACCCCAGGCCCTGTCTCCTAAGGGAGGCAGCTTGGCCTTACGATCCAGTCCTAATGTGGAGCCTTAGTCTGAAGGACCTGGGTTCAAGCCTTGCTCCTGCATTTGCTGAGTGACCTCAGGACAGGTGGCTTCCCCTCCCTGAGCCTATTTTTCTTCATTGGTAAAGCGAGGCCCTTGTGAAACTCAGGACGATGCACGTAACGATGGGCCACGAAGGTAGAGGCTGTCGTGTTCTCGCCTTGCTGTCCCAGCCAGCCTGGCCACTTCCTGCTCTCCTCCTGCGGGGAGAGTGAGGCTGGTGAGGGGACCACAGGGCTGTGGCTTATATTCCAGGGGGGCATGTACTGGCTGGTCCTTCTGGACGACTACAGCGCGAGCTTCGGGCTAATGGTGGTGGTGATCACCACGTGCCTCGCCGTCACCCGGGTGTATGGTAAGAAGGGCCCTGGGAGACAGTCAAGGCTCTCTGCAGTGGGAGCCCCCAGCACCTGGTCCCTGTTCCCACAGGTCAGGGTTTCGGGTGGTGGCAGTTGGGTGGAAGAGGGGCTGGTGCTGTGGGGCCTGTGGGCCGTGCCATGCCTGCTGCCCTCCCCTCTGCTGTCCTCCCCTGCGCAGGCATCCAGAGGTTCTGCCGCGACATCCACATGATGCTGGGCTTCAAGCCGGGCCTCTACTTCAGGGCCTGCTGGCTGTTCCTGTCCCCAGCCACGCTCCTGGTAATGGAGGCGGGAGGGCAGGTTGCTGGCTGGGCCCCAGGACTGATAGAGGGGTCCCCTGTGATTCAGACTGGTAGGGCCACCGGGCTCAGAGTAGGATTGCAATCCACTCCCCTCCCCCTGTGTCCCCAGCTTTTGTGGCAGTTCCAGGCCTACCAAGATGGGCCAGGCTTTCTCAGGCCTTGGGGCTTCAGGGCTGCACCTTGAGGCTGTATTTTACCAGCCTGGGGTTGGAGCAGCTCAGGGACAGGCCATCTCAGGATTAGGGTACTTCTGACCAGGGCCGTAACCAGCCTTGGTACTGGTGCCGAGCTGGCTCGGCCTTGATGGACCATCTCAGGGTCTGGCACAGCACAGAACACTGGGTGGCCCCGGGCAAGACTCAAGCCCTGGGCTAGCCTGGGCTGGGCCAGCTCAGCCTGAAGGTGGCTCAGAACTGGGCTCTCATAACCCTGGGAGCCTGCCTGACACCTGCCGTGCTGTGATGCTGGGAGATCTCCCCCTGCAGGCCCTCCTGGTGTACAGCATCGTCAAGTACCAGCCCTCAGAGTACGGCAGCTACCGCTTCCCTGCCTGGGCTGAGCTGCTAGGCATCCTGATGGGCCTGCTGTCCTGCCTCCTGATCCCAGCCGGCATGCTGGTGGCTGTACTCCGAGAGGAGGGCTCGCTCTGGGAGGTGAGTCTGCGCCGCCCCGCCCACCGTCAGCCTTCCTGACCTGGGCCCTGCCAGACCCACACCTGCCTAGCACCTTATCCAGGGCTTTGCAGGCATCTTCTAGCAGGGCTCCTGGAATGCTGGGCTCCCCTGCAGCCACTGCTTCCTTCCTGCCCTGCTGTCACGGCTACCCACAGCCAGGAGAAGGGGACACGTGTTATTGGGGGCTGACGGGAGTGGCAAGCACTGCAGAGAGTCATTACCAGCTCAGCGGTGCCGCTTTCAGAGACCAGCACTCCCAGCACTGGTATGCTAGGAGCAGAATCCTGGTGGTGCCACTTGCTGGCCGCATGACCCTAAGCAAATTACTGCACCTCTCTGAACCTCAGTCTTCCCATCTTTAAAATGGGGTAGTGCTACCTACCTACAAGGCTGCTGTGAGAAGAAAAGGAGCTTCTCAGTGTGCTCAGCATTGTAGGGGGCATAGCAGCAGAACGTTTATAAAGTCAGCATGGGGAACCAGCAGGTGGCATAGTGATTACATCACGGGACTCCCACATGGCCGACTGTAGTTCGAATCCTGAAGCCAGGACTTGAAACTCACACCAGCCATGTGTGCATGTGTGCCCAAGATCCCAGGAGAAGAATGGAGGAGAGGGGATTGTGGTGTGGCCATCTTCCCTGGAGGGTGATTTCTCACTTTCCCTTTCCTTGGTGAGTGCACATGCCCTAAGATTAAAACCTCTTAAAAAAAAAAAAAAAAGAGGGACCAGCAGTTAGCGTAATGGCTATATCACTGCACTCTCGTGTAGTCAACTGTGGTTTGAGTCCCGGACCCGGTGGCTTAAACTCATGCTGGGCGCGTGTGCGTGCGTGCCCAAGATCCTGAGAGGAGAATGGAGGAGAAGGGATTGCGGTGTGACCATCCTCCCTGGGGGGTGATTTCTCACTTTCTGTCTCTCTGTTTCTCTCTGTCTGTCTGGCGAGCCCACGCACCCTATACCAAAAACCTCTCAAAAAAAAAAAAAAAAAGTCCAGGAGGGGGCCAGACCGCTGGGGTTCAAGTCCCAGCATGACCACCTCCCTCCTGGGTGATCTTGGCCGACTTAACTAACCTCTCTGAGCTTTAAGTTTCATGTGGAATCTGTGGGGGGAGGCCATTAGCGCCAGTCTCGTGGAGACACTGAAAGATGAAATAGGCTGACACTTAGCGCAATGCTGGCAGGCCAGGGGTCTCTTGGGGGCATGTGGCAATGCCCGAGACATTGTTTGTCATGGAGGGTCCAGGGCCCGGGGGAGCACCACTGTCGTCCTTGGGCAGAGGTCAGGCATGCTGCTAATCCTCCTTCCATGCATAGGGGACGGCCCCCACAACAGAGATCTCCAGACTGAAATGCTCGGGTTGAGGCACCTTGGTCTGGGCATAGATCTAAGTCCTTGTTCCCCGGGAGCTGGCACTTTAATGTGGGAGCTGGCCTTCAACAGCACAGAAAGGCCGTGGTAGGGCTGCACTTCAAAACAAACCAACAAGTACCGGGTCCTCGGACAAGTCGTGACATATTTTTCTATGCTTTTCTATGCAGAAATGCGTCATGACTTCTCTGACGACCCAAGAGAAAGCAGAGTGTGGGAACAGGGAGTGGAGGGGGTGGTACTTTGGCCAGGGTGGGCAGAGGAGACCTCGGAGGAAGTGACCAGAGATGAGCGGAGACCTAAGTAAACTGAGTGGTCCAGGCACACACCCACAGGAAGGGCATGCCGGGCAGGATGGCAGCAGATGCAAAGGCCCTGAGGCTCGCTTGAGACCAGCGAGGAGGCCTGTGCTCCGAAGCAGAGGACGTGGAGGGAGAGTGGCAGGAGCTGAGGTCCGGGAGGTGGACTGGGGCGAAGACGTGGATTTCCATTTCCAGGGAGAGGAGGTTTCTGAGCAGTGGGAAACACGCTCTTGATACATTCGTGTAAGTGTCGCCGTGTTTCCAGCACCGAGCTGTGCTAGGTGCTTAGGACACACGTTCATCATCTCGCCCGAACGCTGCACGCAGTCGGCCTCACTGTTAGTTGCCTCCCTTTCTTTAGAGGTCCAGGGGCTCTTCTCCCTGGCAGGGCAGGCAGAGGGCTTCGGAAAGTGACAAGAGTGAGGGACTCTGGAATGTGCAGGCTTAGTCATCATCTTAGTCAGCTCCCTCCTTCCTTGGAAACTTCACGGGCTCCAAGAGGGAAAGGCCAGACAGAGCAGGGCAGAACAGCAGGGCAGGGGGAACCGGGAAGGTTGGCTGCAGTCCCACTCTGGTTCTCCCAGTTCATGGCTCTTTCCTAGAAGCCTGCAGCTCCTTAGGGCTCAGCGTGTAAGGGTAGGGACCCAGAGTGGGCTCCTGGGGAGGGGCCCACCTCCTAGTCATACCCTACAACCAGGAAGCTGTGATTCACATTGCAAAGGCCACCGGCCCTGTAAGTGGCAGAGCAGGTCTGTGAACTGGCCCTTGCAGGAGTCATAGCAGCCTCATCCTGGGCTGGGGTACCTGCAAGCACCCACTAGGTAATGTGGGAGGAGTCGCTGGGTGCCTGCAACTCCACGCACCAATGCTGGCTGTCTCCACTGCTGCGGTCGCTCTGCTGCAGCGGCTCCAGCAGGC